TTTACACCATCCCCTTGGTGATAGCAAAACTGGTATTTCTGTGAGTAGCTGGTGACAGGGTCTAGATATCACAGGGGAATGCTACAAAGGAGCTTGGTGACTGGGATAAACCTATCGTTAACCTGTAAAGTAAATCAAGGGCTGGCACTGGCCTGAGGGGATTGTTTGTTTGGCTTACAGATTGGTGTTCTCAAGGAGCTGATGCAGAGTTAAGCACCAGCAAGTTTGTCTCTTGCTGGAGGTGTGGGAGGGAGTAACAAGGCAACTCAGTCTTGGGCACCTCCAGACGTGCCACAATCGTATACTCTGTTGTTAAAGAGAGGAGCAGTAATCTTAAACACGTTAGAACTTCAGATAAGACTTGACCTATGGTCTCAGTAGTGAAAAGGCACACTAAATACTTTTGTTAAATTATTCAGTTTACCTTATCTCTCAAAATATAGTGTTTTATCAACTACTGACAGACAGGTGATTAGTGTGGTCTCCTTTTCAAGAATAAAGTGAATTAGAAATCTAATCTAACAACATTATTTTAGGATATATTCACAGAAAAGATATGCAATTCATATCTGTAGCCAAATTAACCTAATATAAAGACAGTTCTCCTAATCAGATCTAATTTCAAACCAGAATCAGCTATAAAACCTTTGCTTGTGTTGCAGTATAAAAAACAAAATGTTCAATGTATTAGTTGTATGTTGCAGGAAATACTGTATCTTCTCCTGGATGCTGTTTTTTAAAAAAATATCCACGGAAACAGTGAGATTAAAAAGTTCCTTCATATTAGGTTATCATTTTCCTTTTTTTTTTTTAAATGCAACTGTCAGGAAGAAGTCTTAAACACTATCTTTGAAGGATGTTCTTCCTCTCCTAGCTGTTGCCATTTCTCTACTTTTACTGTGTGATTAAATAAAGCACAGTCTCAACAACTGACTAATCAATCTATGAACTGACTAAACAGGAGAAGTGAAAGTATGGAAAGACAAAAGAAAAACAAACTACAGTCAGGAACAAGCGTGACAGAAAAATTCTGCATAGAAATCAAAGTCAAGTCACTTTACAGGTATGTTTAAAATGAAGGGTCTGTAAACTTGCAGAAATACCCATATATACTCATTCACTAGCCCGTTTGTTTATAAGCCGACCCTCCAAGAGGGTTAGGTAAAAAGAGTAAAAACTGTATGACCCTTTCATAAGCCGACCCTATATTTCAGGGGTTGGCAAACTTTGACTCCTGGCCAGTCAGGGTAAGCCACTGGTGGGTTGGGATGTTTTGTTTACTTGGAGCATCTGCAGCCATGGAGCCCCTCAGCTCCCTGTGGCTGCAGTTCACCGTTCCCAGCCAATGTGGGGCCCGCAGCTCGCATTGGCTGGGAACGGTGAACCGCAGCCACAGGGAGCTGCGGGGCTCCATGCCTGCAGATGCTCCAAGTAAACAAAACGACAATGTATTAGATATTCAATTCAATGATTCCATAGAGTTTAAAGTCATCAAATTTTGGTGTAGACCCGTTTATAAGCCGACCCCCGCTCTTTGATGCGTCATTTTTTTTTTACCAAAAATATTCGGCTTATGAACGAGTATATACGGTAGTAATTACACCATATTTCCAGAATGTCTGTTTATAGATGGGGAGGGTAGAGGTTGGTAGTTTTTTTCAAGTGTAATCATAGATCTGGGATCAGCTCATTTGAATTTATTCACAAATGGGTTCAGATTTAATCTGGAACCTCTTGTTCAGCGTGTACAGTAATGCCAATTTATCCAAATTTTGTTTCCTTAAAAAGGAGGAGAGTACAATATATTTCAGAATGCTGTCGCTTTGGATAATGGTCTTAACATTAAAATTTTGAACGAAATCACATCATAATAAAATGTTTCTGCCCATGATCAAATTAGCAGCTGACCAACCAAACATTTAGAAAAACGGGGATTAACATAGGTTACCTTCAGTTGATTATTGAAAATATCAATCTCCTGAAGTTTTGATCTGGTTTCTTTTTCTACTTCATCTAGTTGGTCTCGAAGCTGCTGGCGTACTAGTTCCTTGGCTTCTAAGGCTCTTTTGATAGTAAGAAGAGAATCTCCTGTTTTTAAAAACATATTGTCAAATGAGATATTTTCTTACACTGACATCTTTAGGTCACACACTGAACCGTTTCTCAGCATTTCTCTTGCAAGATAAAAAAATTATTAGTGATACGAATGATATATTGCGCAAATAGACTCAAACTTATTTTTAGATAGATATAGATATATACGGAGGTGAAAGTAAGCTGGTCCGGTCCGGTGTACTGGCAAGAGCCGGTACACAACCGACTGTACTGGCAGGGGGCAGCTTCCCCAAGTGGGCAATTTAAAAGGGCCCTGGGCTCCCGGCAGCAGCCAGAGCCCCATGCCCTTTAAATCGCTGCCAGAGCCCCACTGCCGGAGCCCTGGGGTAGCAGCGGTGGCTGGGAGCCCCAGGATCCAGCAGCAATTTAAAGGGCCCAGGGCTCCCATCAGTGGCCGGAGTCCCTGGCCCTTTAAATTACCACCAGAGCCCCGAGGCTCCCAGCCCCTGCTGCACCTACAGCTACCCTAGTGCTCTGGCAGTGATTTAAAGGGCCTGGGGCTCCTGGCTGCTGCTACCAGAGCCGGAGCCCGGGCCCTTTAAATTGCCATCGGAGCCCCGGGGTAGTGGCAGCAAGTTAAAGGGCCTGGGATTTACAAGCCCCGCCCCTTCTGCCTGAGGCCCCCCCACCCAGGACCCCAGCCCTGTGTACCGGTAAGTCCCTTAAGTTACTTTCACTCCGGATATGTATTATATATACTTACTGTGCAAACTGTTCTGCTGAACTTGTTTTAGTTGGTCATTGAGTAACTGTTTTTCTGGAATCAACCTTCCAAGCATCTGCTGCGACTCCTTGGGGAAAAGATAAAGGAACAAGTTATTGACTTTAACCAGAAATAGTCACTAGCTTCACATTATACCGTTTTACCTTCACTGAAGAAGTCTCTCTTTTCAGCTCCATTCATTCAGTCAAATATTATCAAAGCACTTGTTGTGTGGGACCATTTCTTAGTAATACAACTACATACAGGTACATCCTATCCCCTAAAAAAAAAGCCAATGAGTCAAATCTGTTACTTCAGAAACTGCTCCCATCTAACAAACAAACTTGATCTCAGCTAGTTCCAAAGCAAGATCTGACTGAAATTTGTATAAGGGTACAAGTATCTACCTAGTTGGGTATTGAATTGGGCCCTTAGAAAGTGTTTGTGGGTCACTTAAATGAGTAATTGGAAGTTTCATCAAGAGGAAGAAGATTTAAGGATTGTCGATTTTATTAATCCTTCAAAGATAATAAATAATCTTCATTTAAACAAACACATAACCACCAAGATCTGCTTACTTGTGGACTATGAAATAAGAATACTAGAGTTCCAGATCTCTGCTTAGCATTCCAGCAGAGATCACAGTTCATTATTTGCTTTACAGGAACCCAGTTGCTTTACAGGAATCCAGAAAGCTACATATAAATAAAAGTTTAATTGTATATGGCAGAATATGTATAATCCTTGTTATTTCTGGGGGATGATAATTGTTAATTCCACTACATACTTTTCCAGTGCCTTAGGAATCATAGAATCATAGAATATCAGGGTTAGAAGGGACCTCAAAAGGTCATCTAGTCCAACCCCCTGCTCAAAGCAGGACCAATCCCCAGACAGATTTTTACCCCAGTTCCCTAAATGGCCCCCTCAAGGATTGAACTCACAACCCTGGGTTTAAGCAGGCCAATGCTCAAACCACTGAGCTATCCCTCCCCCCAACATCAAGTTGTCAGAACAGATTACAGAACCCTGATATGAAATGGCTTAATATACAAAAATGTCAGTATCAATATCTCAGTATCTTTGAAAACAAACTTTCTTTTAAGCAAGTTACTTCAGCAGCAGTTTTAACGATTTAACTACCTGACAGATTTGTCATAAAGGACCATAAATGACATAGCATGACCTTCTACATAAGTATCACACACCTGGTTAATCCCTTTGTGAGTCCAGTCAAAGATTTGCATTTACTTACAAGAACACCTATATGATGGTATTGAAATGACTGTCAATTAATTGACGTTAACTAACACTATTAATGCAAAAAAATTAATTGTGATCATAAAAATTAATCACGATTAATTGCAGTTTTAATTGCACTGCTAAATAGAATACTAATTGAAATTTATTAATTGTTTTTGAATGTTTTTCTACATTTTCAAATATATTTATTTCAATTACACAGTACTCACTTTATATTATTATTTTTTATTCCACATATTTGCACGGTAAAAGTGATAAAAGAAATAGTATTTTTCAATTCACCTAATAAAAGTACGGTACTGCAATCTCCTGTAAGTTCAACTTTCATGACAAAATGTAGAACAATGTAAAAATTATATATATATATATATATATCTGCACTCAAAAACAAAACAATGTAAAACTTTAAAACCCACAAGTCCACTCAGTCCTACTTCTTGTTCAGCCAATCACTCAGACAAACAAGTTTGTTTACATTTACGGGCAATAATATCACCTGAAAGTGAGAACAGGCATTCACATGGCACTGTTGTAGCTGGTGTCACAAGATATTTACATGCCAGATGCGCTAAAGATTCATATGTCCCTTCATGCCTCAACCACTATTCCAGAGGACATACGTCCATGCTGATGATGGGTTCTGCTCGATAATGATCCAAAGCAGTGTGGCCCAATGCATGTTCATTTTCATCATCTGAGTCAGACGCCATCAGCAGAAGGTTGATTTTTTGTGGGGGAGGGGAAGGGGAAAGGTTCGGGTTCTGTAGTTTCCGCATTGGAGTGTTGCTCTTTTAAGACTTGGGAAAGCATGCTCCAGACTTAGTCCCTCTCAGATTTTGGAAGGCACTTCAGATTCTTAAACCTTGTGTCGAGTGCTGTAGCTATCTTTAGAAATCTCACATTGGTACCTTCTTTGCATTTTGTCAGATCTGCAGTGAAAGTGTTCTTGAAATGAACAACATGTGCTAGGTCATCATCTGAGACTGTTATAACATGAAATATATGGGAAATTGTTGGTAAAACAGATCATGATACACAGAATTCTCCCCCAAGGAGTTCATTCACAAATTTCATTAACACAATTTTTTTAATGAGCGTCATCAGCATGGAAGCATGTCCTCTGGAATGTGGTTGAAGCGTGAAGAGGCATATCTGGCATGTAAATACCTTGCAATGCCGGTTACAAAAGTGCCATGTGAAGGCAGCATTATCTCCATAAATGTAAACAAACTAGTTTGTTTTAGCAATTGGCTGAACAAGAAGTAGGACATTTGTAAATCGCCCTTTCAAGATAAAGAGATCGCACTACAGTACTTGTATGAGCTGAACTGAAAAATGCTATTTCTTTTATCACTTTTACAGTGCAAATATTTGGAATAAAAAATAATAAAATAAAGTGAGCACTGTACACTTTGTATTCTGTATTGTAATTGAAATATATTTGAAAATGTAGAAAAACATCCAAAAATATGTAATAAATTTCAATCAGTACTCTATTGTTTAGCAGTGTGATTAAAACTGCGATTAATCACGATAAATTTTTAAAATCACGATTAATTTTTTTTTAGTTAGTTAATCGCAATTAAATCAACAGCCCTACTTTTAATACATGCAGTAGTTTGAAGAGCAGTCACTATTTTAATTAATTCAGCTTTTCACTCCCAAGAAACTTGGAGAAAGGATCATTTAGTAGAGCCTTTCCAAATGTGTTTATTGACGGCTGTATAGTAAGAGTGTGGTATCATAAATGTCAGTCAGATGTATCTCACTCAACCATTAGGCACTGTTTGATTTCAAACTGAAATTAAAGGGAGAGACCCCATCTTATGAAGATCATTATTACACCTCTACCTTGATATAATGCTGTCCTCGGGAGCCAAAAAAACTTACCGCGTGATATTGCACTTGCTTTGATCCACCGGAGTGCGCAGCCCCGCCCCCCGGAGCACTGCTTTACCGCGTTATATCCGAATTCGTGTTATATCAGGTCGCGTTATATCGAGGCAGAGGTGTACTACTGATTTTTGTAAGTTTTTGAATTAAGAGTCTGGGAGCCTCCTTTAAAAAAAGACCAATCAGATGCCTTTTGTTTTCTCCTCTATAAATGAGGTGATCATGTATATTTATGAATATTTTTGAGGAATTGATGTCCTTACAATTTCTGATTACTTTCTGGGTTCTCCCAAGACAATTTTGCTCTTTCCTATTGATTAGTCACCATTATTTACAGGTTTGTGATCATACAGTGATAAATCATTCAAGCAGCAACAACTGAGGTATATAACATTAATGTTGGATCAGTGTACTGGGAGAAACGGATACTGCAGGGCCATGGGTTGCATATTGTTAAGCTTAAAAAAAATAAAATAAAATAAGGATATGATGGCAGTCCAGTTCCAATCATTGTGAACAGAGCATTTATAAACAGTTAATGCTCTCTGTATTAATTGCATTGCTGGATGCTCAGGATTCAATTCAGACTGTATCCATTTACCCAAACCTAAACCTCAATGAGTGGTTTGAATGAAGGTTAGAAAGCAGGTAATTTTTAATAAAGTTGATTTTGTTCTGGAGATTTTAATGGAATTAAAACAGAGGGCAAACTAATGATTGAGATAAGCAAAAAGCGGTTGTATGCTGCATAGGGTATATTTAGGGGGACAGGGGTATTTCTCCCCCTCTCAGAACTAATACAGTTAGGCAAACAATTATTTTTTTAAAAAGAGGGTAAATTGCTCCCCTTCAGATCTCCTTCTACGGTGATACAGTGAAACTCATGGCATAAAGTTAGTATAAAAGGTAACATTTTAAGGACATCTGCATGCATTCAAGCCTGGTATGCATGTGATAAAAATAAGTAATGTATAGGCAGACATCAACAGGGACATGTGCCAGCTATTTGTTCATTTGCATCTTATAACAGTATTAAAATGTTACTTGTTTGCAGCTATCTAGTCCTAAACATAACTTATCTATGTAACCATGTGTTTCCAACTAATGTTAGTCTCAGCCACCTTCCCCTCTGTACTCTCCACTTCTTTGTTACAGTAAGTGCTTAGCATAATGTGGACTTGATCCCAACTGAAGGTTTCTGGACATAACTAATATAAATAATTAAGAATCACCATCTTTTGATACTAAACTAGCACAGGATAGTATGCTGTATTTCACTGATGAGCACAATAGATTCTCCTCTCTTTTCTCAGTGTCAAGGCCAATCAGTTGAACACAGCCAACAGTCTTTGTAGTACCAGAATTACTAACCAAAGTATTTAATGACTCATGAATTAAGTTATAAAATATTGTAGTAGCTCAGTTGTTTCTCCGTTCTACAGAGTTCCCTATCATCCAATCCACCTACAGTGTGTTACCACACTTCAAGCTTTCAACACTTCCATTGCTACTCTATTCTGTATGTCCACTTTATAAATGTTCTCTTTACTCTGTTTTATATATTTCTCATTTTGTAGAGAAGAACTGCAGTGTTATGGAAATATCAGTTTTGACTTTGGTGAAAATAAACTCCATTTCAAGGGGATTTAGGGAGGAGAGAATCCTGATGACTAGGGTTCAATCTTCAATACATTATATTCGCTTTGCTCTGAAAGCAGAAAGCTGTAAACTAAAGGAGGAAGTCCATTAAAACAGAAGATAAACTTTCACAAGAGCTGGACTTAGGCCTGTGATTATTTTTAATAATAAGAGTGACTTCAGTTATCTAATCATTCGCCATTCATTTCGTTGAGTCAGCTTTCCCTTTGTTTCTACACAAAGAAACACCCCTGCTCCCACACACACATATACACAGGTAACCCACCCTCCAAA